CTCCTCCTCCTCCTCCTCTCCCCCCCCCCCCTCCCCCCTTTTCTCACCTCTACCGTCTCTCCCAAAAGCGAAGTTCAATCAGTCGACGAAACATAGACGGAACTCAATGGATGAGACGTTGTAAAACCACCTGGGCGCGGGGGCAGAGGGGGAGGGGGCAGAGGAGGAGGAGGTTGAAAAGGACAATGAGAGGAGAGGGGGTGGAAATTTACGATCAAGATAACGATGATGATGATCAGGCATAAGAGAGGAGGGGAAAGCGGAGAAGAGGAKGATGGAGGCAGGAATAGGCCGGAGCAAGGAGTAGCGGGAGGAGGAGCAGCGGGAGTGGCCAGGACGATGAGGAGGAGACGGAGGCGAAGAGAAGAGCGGGAATGGCAAGAGGAGCGGGAGAGGGAGGAAGAGGACGATGAGGAGGACGAGGTGAGGAAGCGGATAAATCGGAGGAAGTGGAGGATGAGGAGGAGGAGGATGGAGGGAAGAGAAGATAGCAGCAAGCAGCAGAGGAGGAGCGGGACGAGGAGGAATAAAGCGGGGGAACTGGAGGAGGAGGAGGAGGATGGAGGGAAGAGAAGACAGCATTCCTCTCCGTCTTCTTCTTCTTCCCACGAGGGGCATCCGACATACGAGAGTCCGAAGAAGGAGCAGGAACGAAAGAGAGAAGAAACGAAGAAGAAGATCAAACACGAAGGAGAGGGAGGAGGAGGAGGAGGAGGAGGAGGAAGGAAAGAGAGAAGAAACGTAGAAGAAGATGAAGAAGAAGAAGAAGAAGAATAGTGACAGGCAGTGGCGATATCTGCCTCCGGTACACGATTCTGAATGACAGTCAGTACATTTACGGCATGTACCGCTCTCAGCAACGTGCACAAGGAGGAGGAGGAGGAAGGAGGGAGGAGGAGGAGGAGGAGGAGGAGGGGGAAAGAAGAGTACAAGGAGGGAGGAGGAGGGAGGAGGAGGGAGAAGGAGGGAGACAAGACAAGAAAGGAAGAAAAAGGGGAAGGAGAAGAAGAAGAGGGAGACGACTAAGACGATCAAGACTCAGAAGAAGTTCGACACGACGGAGGAGGAGGAGGAGGAGGAGGAGGAAGGTAAGATCGAAGGAGGGAAGAGAAGAAGAAACGAAGGAGAAGAAGTGAAATAGCGAGGTCGATCGCCTACGCATCCGCACAATAAAACAGCAAAGACGCCATAGCTCTCCTGCATGCATAAGTGTTCATGTTCAAAAAAAAAAAAAAAAAAAAAAAAAAAAAAACATTCATGTTCATAGAGCACAGAAGGCGCAAGAAGATCACGCCAAAGAAGAAGCAGGAGGAGGACGGAGTACAAAGAAGGAAAGAGAAGAGACGAAGAAGATCAACACGAAGAAGAAGCAGGACGAAGAGGAGGAGGAGGAGGAGGAGAAGGACGGAAAGAGAGAGAGGAAACGAAGGACAAGATCAAAACGACGAATACGTAGAAGACAACGAAGATCAAGATGAAGAAGAAGCAGACGGAAGAGCCGAGGACGACGACGACGGGGAGAAGAGGAACGGGAGAAGAGACGAACAAGAAGATCAAGACGAACAAGACGATCGAGACGAAGACGAAGTGATAGTGAGGGAGATGACTCTGTGTCTGTGCATGGCAATGAAAACATTACAAGATTCGCAAGGGGGGGGGTGGAGGAGGGGGGAGGGGGGGGGAGTGAAGGCTCCATCAAGATCAAGGAGTCAAAAGAGACAAAGAGTCAAACAGTCAAAGAGTCAAAGAGTCGTACTGTAATTGCATAGACACCACCAAATTCAGAAAACGCTCAAAAAAAGTTACGTAGGCGACCAGAGAGTCTTGTCCGGCCGGACACACACACACACACACACACAAAAAAAA